GTACAAAATCGGGAAGGTGTACGCCAGGGATATGTCCTATCTCAATATTTTTCCAATCGATATATGGTACAGATCATCTGCGTGGCTGGACTCTGTGAGAAGGAAAGTGGCATCAGGATTGGAGGAAGACACATCAACAACCTGCATTATGCAGATGACACAACCTTGCTTTCTTAAACTGAGGAGGAACTGAAGTGCTTGCTCAGAAGGTAAGGACTGCAGCCTTCAATAGAGATTGAAGTTCAACATCAAGGGAAGAAAGATTCTCACCACTGGGGCAACTGGCAGCATTATTATAGACATTGAAGAGATTGAGATTACTAACAATTTCAGTTTGCTTGACTCCACAATCAACACTTTTGGCATCAGTAGCCAGAAAATCAAAAGACATATTGCATTGGGAAAGTTTGTTGTCAGGGACCTCTCCAGAGTACTGAAGAGCAATGATGTCCATCTGGATACTAAAATATGCCAGATCTAGGCCATGGTCTTTGCAATTACTTGTTATGTATCAGAAAGCTGGACAATGACTACGGATGATAGAAGGAGAATTAATGCCTATGAGCTGTAGTGATGGAGAAGAGTACTGAATATAACATGAACTTCTAAGAGAACAAAAAGGTTCATCCAAGAGAGAGTGAAATGAGACTGTTCCTTGGAGGCAAGGATTCTGCAGCTTCATCTGACATACTTTGGACATGTTACAAGGAGTGACCAGTCCTTGGAGAGGGACATCATGTTTGGAACTGTAGAGGGACAGCACAAGAGAGAAAGATTTGCAATGAGATGGATCGATTCAGTGACTGGGGTAATGGGAGTAGATATGTCAGAGACAAAAAGTTGGCACAGGACAGAGAAGGGTTCAGAGCTGTTGTACATAGGGTTGCTATGAGTAGCAAGTGACATGACATGATTGCACATAATTACAACAACAAATACTGAAAAATAAGAATGCAGTGGGAGGCATTCCCTGACCTCAAAATCTACTACACAATTGTAATAACCAAAAAAACATGGTACTATTACAATTACAGACACACAGATTAGTAGAACCCAGAACTGATAACCAAAAAAGTCTATTCAATGGGGAAACAAAAATCTCTTCAATAAATGGTGCTGGAAAAATTGGTCTTCTACCTGCAGAAAGCACAATTCTCATCATACACAAAAACCAACTTTAAGTGAATCTGTGACCTAGGGTAAAGCCCAAATCAGAAAGATCATAAGAGACAAAATGGAACTAGACTGAGAAGGCCTACCCTATCATCTGAATGTTGTTGTTATTGTTGTTATGTGCCATCGAGACGCTTGCGACTCATAGCGACCCTATGTACAACAGCCCTAAACCCTTCTCTATCCTGTGCCAATCGTTAAATACTGCCAGAAATGCACAATCAAGAAAGAATAGCAGAGTCTTCCAAAGATTAAGGCCCCGTGAGCATCAAAAACCTTTACTAATAATATGAAAAGAAAACCTACTAACTGGAGAGAAAAACATTTGACAGTATCATCTCAGACAAGAGTCTTGTAATGGAAATTATAGAATAATTTTGTAAGTTTGAGCTTCCATAAGAAAAAGACTGATAAGCCAAACACAAAATGGGCAAAAGACAATTAAAGACGTCACAGAGGAAGACATTGAGGTGGCCAAAGAAATGCCAAAAATCACTGGCAATAAGAAAGATGTAAATAAAAACCACAGTAATATACTGTCTTGTCCCAGTAGCTGTGGTAAAATTTACTAGGACAGTAAGCGATAAATGTTGGAAAGGATTTGGAGAGATTGACATTTCATACACTATTTGTGGAATAATAAAATGGTACAATCACTCTGGAAGGTAGTTCGGCATGTCTAAAAAAACCGAAATACAGACATTCCATATGACCCAGCTATTCCTTTGTTAGGAATATACCCTGACATAAATACAATTGAGACACTAATGGAGATTTGTTCTAGTAATGTTATTCACAATAGGAAGAAAATGGAAACAGCTCAAATGTCCATAAAAAATGAATGGATTAAGAAATTGTGATGCACACTGATACACTCCAGGAGGGTACTCGAACATGACAACAAGATAAAGGTAAGTAACCCAATTGAATAATGGGCACAGGATATGGACACTTCACCAAAGAAAGCATTCAGATGGCCAACAAATACATAAAGAAATGTTCAAAACCCCTAGTTCTAAGAGAGATGAAAATCAAAACAACTATCATCTCACCCCAGTAAGAATAGCAAAATTGCACAGAGCAGCAAACAACAAATGCTGGTGAGGTTGCGAAGAAACTGGAACCCTTATTCACTGTTGGTGGGAGTGTAAAATGATGCAACCACTGTGGAAGTCAGTATGGCGCTTTCTCAAAAAGTTGCAAATAGAAATACCATTTGATTCAGTAATTCCTCTACTGGGAATATACTCTGAAGAAACCGTAACTGCCATCCAGGCAGATATATGCACACATATTGTTTATTGCTGCTTTGTTCACAATAGCAAAGAATTGGAAACAACCTGAAGTGCCCATCAACAAATGAATGCATAGAGAAGCTGTGGTGTATACACACAATGGAATACCATGCTGCATTGAAAAACAAGGAACTCATGCAATATTATTAAAAATGGGTGACTCTGGAGGACATTAGGCTGAGTGAATATCTTAGTCACAAAAGGACAAATACTGCATAGTGCCACTGCACTGAATGACATCAGGGTTGGGATGAGAATGAGAATGAGAATAATTGGATAATTTATGTATACAGCATTGAAACAGATGAGGGAGAGAACAGTTTAAAAGCTATATATGATTGATTATTATGGTTATGACAAGAGTCCAGAATGAAGGTTGCATAGTAGAGTGTACTCCGGGATGGGGGCTTGGGGGAAATTGTATACCAATGAAAGACTTTTTCTTTTACTTTTCAAAGAGAAGAGTGAAGTGGGGGGGAGGGGTGGGCAGGGAGAAAAATGAAACAATGAATAAATGGAAATCTAAAATATCTGTAAACGTTCATTACAATTAATAAAAAAAATTGTGATACATTCACAAAATGGAATTCTGTACAGCACTCAAGAGTAATGATTTAAAAAAAATACTATATAACACGAGAGAGGCTGGAGATCATTATACTCAGTGAACTAAGTTTTGTATGCATAAATACTGAATAAGGGTATTTCTTTTGTCCATTTCTGAGTTTTCTTCTTTTTTTAAAAATTTTTAAGCTTTATTTTTTTAAATAATTTTAATGAGCATTTACAGAGATTTTGGATTTCCATTCATTCATTGCTGCACTTATCTCCCTGCCCAGTCCTCCCCTCGCCCCCAGTTCGCTCCTCTCTTTCAAAAGTAAAAGCAACACTCCCTCGCATAAGGGTATTCTTATAAAAGTAGGATTACTAGAAAGATATGCACAAAAGTCCAAAGGGGAAAAGGGAGGGAAGTGGGTGGCTGAGGGTGGAGTAGAGTGGGGAAATTATGAGATCACAGAACTTGGTTGGCAGAGGGAGTGGGTGAAGGAATTGGATAAGATCCAATGGAGATCGGAAAAGGCAGGGTAATGGTGGGCATGAATCAATGGTGATTAATTTTATGAAACACAATGTAGAGGATTGATCATATGAACACAACATGAATAGAAGAATGTGAGAAACACAATGTATGTAAATGACACATGATGTATACAAATTTCGTATGCAAACCAATACAGAATTTTAAAAAATAAAAACAAATAAAGAAAAAAGGGAGTTGTATTTTAAAAAACCCAATTATTATAAGGTCAGCAACAGCTCTCAAGTTCTTTCTACTCAGCTCAACACAAATATTATAGCTTTACTGGGTCCAAAATCCATTGTGATAACTCACAAACCACAAAGAAACATATTAAAGATGTCAAAAGGCTATAATTCAGATTAGTAACAGAATACAGTCAAGAACAGTTTTTTAAATGGGTGCTATTCAAGGTTGGGGCACTTCAATTTTGAGACACATAGCTTTAGGTCAGTGTTATAAAACTCTCCATCTTGAGATATGATTAATATAAACCCTATTCTGGCTGGCAAAAACATCTCTGGTCCTGAAGAAAGCATTACATTCTCTTTTTTGTTGGTGGAGAGTGTCTTAAGTTCTGCTGCTGGGTCTACTCAATTTAATAGCAAGGCTAGCCAATTCCCTTGTGGATAGGCTACCACACCCTATATACGTATCCTTGCCTATCCACATGTCAAAGTCAAGCAATGGCTAGGAAACTCATTTTGAAGAATAACCTTAACACCACAATAACTTAATAAGTATATATGTTCCAAAGGAAAAGGAGAAAAGAGGGGTAGGAAAAGAGGAAAGGAAGAGAAAAATCACTGAGATAGCAGTGGATAGTTAATGTATAGTGGGGGATGAAGTAAAGGGACCAATTCAATGGGAGCTTGAAAAGATGAGTTATAAATAGGCATAGAGTAATGGTAATTAATTGTGTAAAACATAGTGAATAGGAATTATTATGGAAAACACGAAGTACATGTATAAAACACAATGTATATGAATGCTTATATGCAAACCAGTAACAATTTTTAAAGAGCCTTACATTAAAGAAATAGTCATATGTAATTTTCCAATAAGAACTTCTAGAACTTAATATACTCATATATTTATACTGGAAAACCATAAGAAGCAGTTCTATTCCATAACAAATGAAGTTGCATTTGAGTAAGAATTTACTCAACGGCAATAGTTCTGCTTAAATTAATATTTGACAGCAAAGTATTTAACAAAGTGGTTCTAAGGAACTTGGTGGCCTAGTGGAAAGAAGCTGCATTATAATCCCAAAGGCTGCTGCCTGGTAGGAGGACCTCCGCTCTTGTATTTAACTGCTTCTAAAAACCGACCTGTGGGTCAGCTATGAGTCAGTTCCAACTCTATAGTACACAATAACAACATACTGAAAATGGCAAGATATAATGCTTATTTCTCTAAATTTTTGATGATCCAAGAAAAACCCAAGTGCTTACCTAAACATTTTGGTGGTTGTGACCACTGTCCGTCTCTACAAGTAATAAATCTGTCACCCTGAAGTTCATAGAACGATTGGCACTGGTACTCAACTCTTGATTCTTGGGCATATTCACCTAATGTTGCAGAAACAGTGTCTCCATTTTCAATAGGTGGAGGAGGTTCACATTTTCCTTTTGAATCTAAAATTATAAATTGTATTTGTTATCTGAGAGACCAGGTCAATAGACAGATTAAATTGAAGCCTATACAAATAAACATACTATGTGACAACAAGACTTGTGTGATTTCTCAGAAAAAATAAAGAGCTAGTACAAATGTGTCTGCTCTGTACTACCACAGAACCAATAGTTTCTTCATGGATATACACTGTAAAGTGGATAAGATAGACAAATGAAGTGGGGTTTTTTCCCTTTAATTTACATACTATAGTGTCTATTGAAGCTCCCAAAAGACTCAAATTTACTGCTGTTGAATTAATTCTGACTCACAGGGCTTCTAAAGCTGTAAATACAAATAGCTGGAGATAACTTATTCTCATCCCTTGGAGCCACAGGCAGATTCAAACCCTTAGAGTAGATTATCTATTTGGTTAGGAGCACAAAAAGCTACAGATCTTGCTGTAGAATTCCAAGTGAATCACTAGCTATTTTTTAAAAAATAATTATTAAAATTGAAGCATTAAGTCCTTATAAAAAATTCAAAATGTAAAAATGTTTATATGTACTTTTGCTAAAATGCAGACATATTGTATAAAACCTAAATAAAGAAGGCACTGAAAGATAAAGATGTGGGATTTTTTTATTTTATTTGTGTGTGTGTGTGTGTGTGTGTGCGCGCGCGCTGTCAAATCAGATCTGACTGGTACAGGAGGAGATAGTTTTTCCTTTTCCAGCAGAGCACTTAGTGGACTTGAACCAAACACCTCTGGGGTTGCAATACACCTTCTTGCCACTAGGCCACCAGAGCTCGCCAAAGATGTGGGATTTTTTTTGTGTGTCAAGCAAAGATAGGGAAGTGAGTTCTAGGCTTGTTTTAAGTTCAATGTTTCCTGACCTAGGCCCTCTAGAATTCTGCAGCCCAGAATCCATATCAAATTCCCAAAAGAAGAATTGTGTGTTTAAGCAAAGGATAAGGATTAACAGCATGCTATTGCTATTGTTTTGTGCCATTGAGTCACCTGAGATGTATAGTGACCTTATGTACATTAGCTCTGAACCCTATCCTATTCTATGTCAATCTCATCGCCTCTGACAGACCTAATCCCATTTCTTCAGTCACTGAGTCAATCCAGCTTATCTTGGGTCTTCCTCTCCTGAACTCGTCTTCCATCCTTCCAAGCATAATGTCTTTTCCCAAGGCTGTTGCCTCCTGGCCACATGCCCAAAGTATACGAGACAGATATTTAAAATCCTTGCCTCCAGGAAGCAGTTTCATTTTACTTTCTCTAGGACAGACCTGTTTTTCTTCCTAGCAGTCCACGGTATGTTCAACAGTTTTCTCCAGCACCAAACATCAAAAGGCATAGATTCTTTTTCTATCATCCTTAGTTATTGTCCAGCTCTCCAATATATAACCAGTATTGATAAGACCATCACCTGTATTAGGTGCACCTTAGTCTCCAAACAGACTTTGTTGCTCTTCAGTACTCTAGAGAGGTCCCTGAAAGCAGACTTTCTAATGGAATTAATCTCTTGATTTCCTCATTGCTGGTGCCAAGAGTGTTCATTGTGAAACCAAGCAAGCTAAAGTTGTTAACTATCTCAATCTTTTTCCAACTATCATGAAGCTTCCAATTGGTCCAGTGTTAAGAACCTTTGTTTTCTTGATGTTGGACCTCAAAACACATTGAACACTACAAGTCCGTGACCTCCTGCAGCAAATGTCTCAGGTCTTCCTCAATTTCAGCAAGCAACGTAGTGTCATCTGCATAATACAGGTATTTGTTGAATCTTCCTCTGATCAGAATGCCACGGTCTTCCTCATAAAACCCAACCTCCTGAATGGTCTGTTCTGCATAAAGATTGGAAAGATATGGAGCTGGGATGCCTCCCTCGGGCACAATTTTCCTGATCCTGAACCATGGAGTGTGTCCCTGCTCAATTCTGAGTACTGCATTTTGGTCCAAGCACAGGTTTTGCCCAATGACAATTAAGAGTTGAGAAATGAGGTTGGAGATAGAATTCTAGAATTCTGTAGAATCAATGACCTTCTTTGCAAATGCCATTTATAAGAAATATAGTGACAATACACATGGACTTCACCTTATGTTCTACACAAGAATAGATTTATTACATCTGTGGGGGAAAGTCCACTGGAGAATATCAATATCAGCTGTGAAAACTAGGCCAGGTGTTGCTTGTGGACTAGACCATCAACTATTCATATGCAAGTTCAAATTGAAGTTAAAAAAAAATCAAATAAAATCCACAGGAATCATACTTTTACCTCTAGTCTATTCTACCATTCAAAGACCATTTCAGGAATTGATTTAAGGCTTTGCATATTAACGAGCAAAGATCAGATGAGCTGTGGGAGGACATCAAGAATATCATCCACCAAGAATACATAGAGTCATTACAAAGAGAGAAGATGAAGACCAAGATGGATGTCAGACAAAACTCTGGCTGTTGCACTAGAGTGCCAATAAGCCAGAGCAAAGAGAGGAAATCAAGACGTTAAGGAGATGAACAGAAAATTTTGAAGGGCAGCACAATATGAACAAAGTATTACAATGAAATGAGCAAAGAGCTGAAGTCAGAAAATCAAAAGGGATGACTCACTCAGCACTTCTTAAGCTGAAGAAACTGAAGAACAAATTTAAACCTCAAGTTGCGATGCTTAAGGATGCTGAAGGCAGAATGTTGAAAGACCCAGGAAGCATCAAAAGAAGATGAAAGGAGTACACACAGTCACTATACCAAAAAGAATTGGCTGACACAGAAGTATTTGATGAAACAACATATGATCAATGTTAAGTGGCAGAAGTACGTGAGACTCTGTGTGGAGAGTGAATACTCTCCATTGCTTGTGGGGAGACAGGACTGAAGCTCCTAGAGATATGAGTCCCTCCATTTAGGGATCCTTGCATCTGCAGCTGCATTGACATCTCAGGAACCAAACAGGACACAAGAATTTGGGATACAGAGTTAAAAGCAAGGGGTAAACTTTCTCAGCTCTCTGTGAGAGGGTTGGCTGACTTGAGACCACTCTGCACACAAGCTACTTGAGCTGACATCCCTGATCTCTGGATGTAGTGTTCCTCCTCCAGAGACAAAGAAGATATCAAAGTTCAGGAGAAAAGATACATGGCAAGTGAAACTATTTGAGAAAGGCACCTGGTCTCACACACTACTCAGCCACATCCTACATGATGGAGAACAATTTACGTGTTCAATGCAATCCCAATACACATACCAAATTCATTTTTCAAGGAGATCAAAAGGGAAATTTCCCAGGTTATTTGGAGAGGAAAGACACCCAGAATAAGCAAAGCACTTCTGAAAAACAAAAATGAAGTGGGAGGTACACTTCCTGACCTCATAACCTACAATAAACTGGTAATAACCAAAACAGGATGGTACTGACCAATGGAACTGCATTAAGAACCCAGAAATGGACATTTTATGATCAAATGATATTCAACAAAGGAATAAATCTTGTCAAATGGGGAAACAACAACCTCTTCAACAAATGGTGTTGGCCAAATGGAACTGCTATCTGGAAAGCTGAGACAGTACCCACAGCTCACACTATACACAAAAATTAACTCAGATGAATGAGAGACATGGGAGTAAAGCGCAAACCCATAAAGTTCACAAGAGATAGAGTGGGACCAAACTGAGAAGACCTAGCTTATGGTATGAAGACACTGCCAAATACACTCAGAAAAGCTCAATCTGGAGAAGGATAAAAGTGATGAATAGGACCTTCTATAGATTAAATCTCAAAAACTTTTGCTTATCAAAAGGTTTTCCAACAGGGTGAAGAGCAAGCCTACTGACTGGGAACAAATATTTAGTGATAGCATCTCAGACAAGGGTCTCATAACAAAAGTTTAAAGTATACTGGACCTCCAGAAAAAAAACACAACAACAACAAAACCCCAAACCTTGTAACCCAATTACAAAATGGGTAAAAGCCTTGAAAGACTTTCAACAACAGAAGACATTCAGGTGGCCAATAGAAACATTAGGAAATGCTCTAAATCACTGGCAGTAAGAGAGATATAAATCAGCTTTCTGCTCCTCATCGATCCAGATTGTCCTCTCTTCTCGCGCAGCCTCAGCTGCATCCCTGATACACAATGGTGAAGGTCAGAGTAAGTGGATTGGCCACATTAGGCACCTCGTCACTAGGGATGCTTTTAACTCTAGCAAAGTGGGTGTTGTCACCATCAATGATCCCTTCATTGACCTCAACTACATGGTCTATATGCTCCAATATTATTCCACCAATGGCAAGTTCAATGGCACTGTCAAGGCTGATAATGGGAAGCTGGCTACCAGTGGAAAGGCCATCACTATCTTCCAGGATCGTTATTCTGCCAACATCCAATGGGGTGATGCTGAGTATATTGTGGAGTCCACTGGTGTCTTCACAACCTTGGAGAAGGCTGGGGCTCACTTGAAGGGTGGTGCCAAAAGGGTAATCACCTCTGCTTCTTCTGCCGATGCTTCCATGTTTGTGATGGACATGAACCAAGAAAAGTATGACAACTCTCTCAAGATTGTCAGCAATGCCTCCTGCACCACCAACTGCTTAGTTCCCCTGGCCAAGGTGATCCATGACAACTTTGGCATTGTAGAGGGACTCAAGACCACAGTCCATGCCATCACTGCCACCCAGAAGACTGTGGATGGCCCCTCTAGAAAGCTGTGGTGTGATGGCCATGGAGCTGCCCAGAACATCACCCCTGAATCTACTGGCACTGCTAAGGCTGTGGGCAAGGTCATTCCTGAACTCAATAGGAAAGTTCAGACATGGATTTCCGTGTCTCCACCCACCTTGTGTCGATTGTGGACCTGACCTGCCATCTGGAGAAAGTTGCCAAATATGATGAAATCAAGAAAGTAGTAAAGCAGGTATCAGAAGGGCCTCTCAAGGACATCTTGGGATACACTGAAGATCAGGTTGTTTCCTGTGACTTTAATAGTGACACCCACTCTTCCAACTTTGATGA